TTAGATAATTAGATAAATCTTTTTACCATAAAAATTGTTTTTATAATCAGATCCACAAATGTGCTATTTTTAATTTATCCAACTTTTTTTTAAAATTAATTTTATTTTTATTTTCAGTACTAAAATATGAAACATAAAAAAATGTATTATACATGTAGTGCTAAGTTCACTTAGTGAACAAAAAAAAATAAAATAAAAAATATTAATGTGAAAAAAGTTGGTCCAAAAGTCAGTTTTATATCTGTACCCTTATATATAAAGGAATTTGTCCTTTGGAGGAATCTACGTAGAGCTCAAATAACATGGCAGATCTTGTTGAAATTTCCAGGATGGATTAATATTATAATTTCACCATGCTTAAAGAAAGGATTTTTGTGAAATTCAATCCCTAAAGGTGAAATTAATTGGTTTTAAGTATACAAGTATACAAGAGTGCCGCCATCTATCAAACAATATCTAATTTYAAGTATTCTTCTTCTTCTATATTTAGAATAATCAATCTAACCAATCTGCCAGTCTGATTTGTGAATTTCAACCATCCAGAACGTCACTCAAACACATACAAAAAAATTCATACAAATCGGTCTAGCCATTTTGGAGGAGTTCAGAAACATACACACACGTGCAGTAGAATTTTATATATAAAGATATATTATATAATACAATTTGTTTTATCCAGCTAATAATCTTGTTGTTGATGCCTTAAATAAGAATTGCAAAAATAAATAAAAATAAATTTATTTATTTTATTTTTCTGTTAAAAGTAGAGCAACTTATTACAATTGTCAATCTCCCATTAATCTAGTCTAGAATAAATAAAAAAGTAAGATAACTAATCAAAGACGCATCGATTAACATATAATCAATAAACTATATTCTATGTTCTTAATAGGTACCTGATGAACACAACACAGAAAATATATTTATTTTAAAACACACCAAAACTCTCAACATTCAGATTATAATTTAAGACGAAAATAAATTTTCATAAATCAGTTCTATAAAATATTAAATACTCTTTATGAAMAATTGTATACCATCAATATTATTGAAATATTGAACAATTTATCATACAGTTTTATTAGGTTTCCCGTATTTAAAATAGTATTGGATATCCAATCTTTATAAAAGTAAACAAATAAATATCCAGATTGGAGGTGAGAGCTTCCACATTTCACTCCTCCTAAATTATGTGCATTGTATATGAAGTTAGCTAATCCATATAAATATCCGTTACAAATCAATGGTCCTCCGCTATCACCAGGGCATAGATTATGAATATTTGGTTTCGAACACAATGTTATATTCGAAAAGAATTCTCTATTTAAAAATKAAAATTGTATAAATTTTTTAMCAAATATATTTTACTTATATTTAGTACGTTGTGGGTAAAAGGTGAAATAGACACTCTATATGACCATACATTACACTTAAGTTAGTCATATATCCAACATTTTCATAATTCATAGATTTTTCAGTTTGGCCATATCCAATAGCTATGCAATTTAAATTCTTCGCAATACTAAATTCATTAGGATGACCAGATACATTTATATAATGGCTCACATCGTTAAACGCATATTCTATCTAAACTACAAATGTAATATTAGTAGGATATAATGTATTAATTTACSTAAAATTTTACCTACTTGTATAAATATTTGAACTAAACAATAGTATTATAATGAAACAGCACAAATTTATTTCAAAAATAGTTGAAATATTATTATATAATTAAGATGGGCGCTGGATTTGTGCAAAATATTATAAAACTAAACTATCGCTGAGTAACATAATTATGTTTATATCAAAATTATTATTTAAGTCTTAAGATTTTAG